GTTCTGTTACTGACGTGGCTGGTCCACAGGAGCAGATATATAACACCCCGTGTTCTGTTACTGACGTGGCTGGTCCACAGGATCAGATATATAACACCCCATGTTCTGTTACTGTCGTATGGGGTGTTATATATCTGATCCTGTGGACCAGCCACGTCAGTAACAGAACATGGGGTGTTATATCTGATCCTGTGGACCAGCCACGTCAGTAACAGAACATGGGGTGTTATATATCTGATCCTGTGGACCAGCCACGTCAGTAACAGAACATGGGTGTTATATCTGATCCTGTGGACCAGCCGTTCTGTTACTGACGTGGCTGGTCCACAGGATCAGATATATAACACTCCATGATCTGTTACTAAAGTGGCTGGTCCACAGGATCAGATATAACACCCCATGTTCTGTTACTGACGTGGCTGGTCCACAGGATCAGATCTAACACCCCATGATCTGTTACTGTCGTGGCTGGTCCACAGGATCAGATCTAACACCCCATGTTCTGTTACTGACGTGGCTGGTCTACAGAACTACTGACAGAACATATGATCAGATGTAACACCCCATGTTCTGTTACTGACGTGGCTGGTACACAGAACTACTGACAGAACATATGATCAGATCTAACACCCTTAGGTATTAGAAATTTAACCTATCAATAATACACATATATAGTATTTTTATGTATATGCCCAATAAAGGTTCAGTCGTGAACCACAAACCGTAGTGTTTATTTTTATGGTGTTTTAATCTGGTCAATATATAGTTTTCTCCCTTCATACTTGTTAGTTGTTTAAGTAAATAAATATAAAAAAATTCTCTATATTAAGTAACACTCTTTCAAATTATAAAGGGTTTAATGAAGTCTGGACATGTCTGTAGTGCCATTTAGTGACGTACCAGATTTTAACGGCAATTCTATGCTATAACTTGGGTAATATTGCTATTTCTGACAGTTGTTTTGGTGATACACTGTTGCGCCGTATTAAGTTTATATCCAAAATTATCAAACCTATTTTATTCGGTCTAACAACTTAGGCAGTTACATGATTCCGGTCTAATCATGTAACTGCCTAAGTTGTTATTCGGTCTAATCATGTAACTCCCTAAGTTGTTATTCGGTCTAATCATGTAACTGCCTAAGTTGTTATTCGGTCTAATCATGTAACT